GCAGCAAAAGTAGGAAAGTGTATGTAACAGTTTGCTCATATATGAAAACGTGGAATGGGCAAACAGCTGGTATTTGTCCCTAAGAGTAGCTGCTTCCCCCTCAACCCAGCATGTCAATTACCTACAAACACAGTCAACGTCATGGCAAACAGAAATGAAACTAATGGAAAAGTGTCAACTTCCACATTTGTCTACCAATCAGGGAACTGCCACTGTGATGGGGAACTCATCCCCTAATAAACTGTTACCTGAGGTTGGGATTTTTTGTTTTGCTTTTCTGAGACAAGGCCTCACTATGAAGTTCAGGCTGCCCTTGCATTCACTACAGAGTTCTAGCTGGCCTTGAGCCCAGGTGATCTGGTTCAGCTTCCTGAACAAGGACTAGGCTTATGGGAGTGTACGTACCTCCACACCCAGCTTCATGATCCGATGTTCTCCAAGAGATGTTGCAACTACAGCACACAGTGCCATGGAGGATACAGATTGCAAAAAAATGTATTTCAACTTACACTGGAATTACGCCAAGAATATGACAAATACAACCAGGGTGCGTCAAATTGCTGAAGCAGAGCTCTGAATTGTTCACAGGAGTAGGATGCCCTCTACTGGAAACAAGGGGAGGTTCTGTGATGGCACTGCAGGCTGAGGCAAGGTGAAGTGGGCAGTGGTAGTAGGGCAAAAAACAAAACGAAGAAACAGGGCAGCAAATTTAAGCTCCAATGCTATTTTTTAGAATATCCAGTAATCATAGGCTGTGAGAACACAAATATAAATGTCAAAGGGTGGGAGGAAAGGCTGAGTTAGATGCGCTTGCTGAGCCCTCTCCCCAGCCCGTTTTACAAATGAAGCACCGAAAAACTAGCTTCTTTTCTTCCATATCTCCACCGCTGCTTCACTGGCAAGAAGAGAATAAGAACACATTAAATGAGCTATAGGAAATACCGAGGAAGCTTAGAGACTCTGCTAAGACGGCAGCAAGAGAGAGACCAACTTCTGAGTGCTGCATGTTGTCTTCTTGTTGAGTAACTGAACACATTTCAACTCATGTCTCTGAAAATGAAATGAACCATTGCTCTCACGTCGGAAGGCGAGGTGGCAGCTGCAGGGCAAAACAACAAAGCCAAGGTACAGTCTTCACTTTACCTGTCTGGAACAGTGCTAAGTATGTTCTTAAAACACTATAAGGCTGGCCCTCCCAGCATGTCCTGCGCTGGAAAGAGGGCTTCACCTTGCATCCCACTGTCCTACAGCAGACAGCCACAGGTCTCACCTGAGTAGGCCAAGCACTGCCTAGTGGTAGGGCTGAGGCTGGGCTGGCGTCTGGAATGCAGGGCCTGTTGCACAAACTGTTTCCTACCACCTAATAAGTCGGTAAAACACAACCACATGGGCCTCAAGTTGCCAAAATGATGTTCATTTCTTTTTTTTTTTCCTAGATGTTATATCACTTAATGTACTGAGAGGGTCACTGGGAAGAGAACTGTAGCAAATTATTAAATCCATTAGCTGTCTCCATGCCATATCAGTTAACTATTTTCCAGTGAGCAGGGCCCAGGGGGTATGAGAGGACCGATAGGGTTTGAGAAGCTGAAGTGAAGAAAGATTTGTGGCCAGATGGGCCCTAGACGCAGACATGGGTGACTGGGCTCAGAAGTTTTAAAAGTTACCAAACACTGTATGAGCTTCCTCATCTTTATCCTTGGTGTGGCGTTTGCCTCAGGTTGTTTCTGTGTACAGGGGGCTCCTGTACTGAGCTACATTCCCAGCCCTTGTTTGATTTTGAGATAGCATCTTGCTAAATTACCTGGTGGGCCTGAACTTGCAATCCTCCTGCCTCATCCACCTACAGCGCTGGGATTACAGGTGTGGACCACC